TGGAGATACCCAGATGTACTATGATTAATAAATTTACATATTAAATCGAGGAAAAAAAATTATAATGTTAATTTTCTTTTATATTCGTTCCCTATAAACGCATGAAGCGTTTACCTAGATTGGCGAACTTAATGCTTAATGCTTCCTTTATCAGTCGAGCGAAGGCAGTGCAGAGTAAATAAGTAACTATATATATATATATACATTGCATACCTAGTATTTTGGTTTATATTTTGGCGTTTTATCATGAAATGGAGAGTGCTTTGAGGAATTGTTTAGTGGTGGTAGGACTTCTTGTGAGTTCGCACGGATAGGTACCACCGCCCTGCCTATTTCTGTCGTGAAGCAGAATTTTTTTTTAATTTTTTTTTTTTATTGCTTAGATGGGTGGACGAGCTCACAGCCCACCTGGTGTTAAGTGGTTACTGGAGCCAATAGACATCCACAACGTAAATGCGCCACCCACCTTGAGATACAGTTCTAAGGTCTCAAGTATAGTTACAACGGCTGCCCCACCCTTCAAACCGAAACGCATTACTGCTTCACGGCAGAAATAGGCAGGGTGGTGGTACCCACCCGCGCGGACTTACAAGAGGTCCTACCACCAGTAATTACGCAAATTATAATTTTGCGGTTTTAATAATGTAAAATATGTAATGTAAAATGTAAAATAATGCGTTTCGGTTTGAAGAGTGGAAGTAGCCGTTGTAACTATACTAAAACCTTAGAACTTATATATCAAGGTGGGTGGCGCATTTACGTTGTAGTTGTCTATGGGCTCCAGTAACCACTTAACGCCAGGTGGGCCGTGAGCTCGCCCGCCCATTTAAACAAAACAAAACTGCCTGTTAAATATTTTTGTAAACAATTCAGTTGTCATCTATACATATAAATAAAATTGGAGTGTCTGTTTGTAATATTGAAATAGCCTCTTTTTACTACATGCATATGAATATGTTGGAGTATTTCCACTTTCGGGTAGCGACATGGTCAGCGGGTGGTCTTCGTAAGTCAATAAAACCAGAAATGTTAACTCAGAGCGTATATTACGCAGGAGCGTTCTGTCTGATACGGTGACTTTTTTTTTTTTTTTTTTTTTTTTTTTTCCTACCTATGCTGATAGCCTTGAGAGGCTATTTCAGCTTCACCCTAACGTGTGTAGGTGAGCTCACGGGGCTCAAACCGGAGAGTTGCTAACACTGACCCTAGCAAGAGCAGTGCTTCGCAGAATCTACCACCGGATCGGAAACGCGACCCACTGAGAAGATCCGGCGAGAAACNCCGGAGCCGTCAAAGGGTGCCGGTGCGCTCTGTGATTCAAGCCGCCTGCCGTTGATCGTTGCAAATATGCCGGTGACCCGAGCCATCAAAGGGTGCCGACGCCCTCTGTGATCCAAGCCGCCTGCCGTCGACCGTTGCAGGTGTGCCGGCGGCGCTCGCTGACAAAGGGTGCGGATGCGCTTTGTGATCTAAGCCGCGCGCCGACAAATATACATACGGCACATACACCAAAATAACATTTTTTACAATTTTTGTCTGTCTGTCTGTCTATCTGTCTGTTTGTTCCGGCCTAATCTCTGGAACGGCTGGACCGATCTTGACGGGACTTTCACTGATAGGTAGCTGATGATATAAGGAGTAACTTAGGCTACTTTTTTTAGACTAGCTTCGCCCCGCGGCTTCACCCGCGGTACGACAATAACCGCGGGTAGCACCGCGGGACTCAGCTATCAACAATAAAGTTTAATGCTTCCGAAGCGATGCGAGGGCGGGTCGCTAGTCTTCAGTAAAGTATACTGTGTCTCTATCCTTGTCTCACTTTCGACGTTTGTCACTTTTAAAGATAAGTTTTCGTTGATGGCATTGTCCGTCTCCTTAACCCGTAGGCCAGCAGTGCGGTCAGTGCTAGCCATAGTAATTGACCTTGTCACCACCCTCGTCGAACTCTTCGATCGACGAGCGAACAAGCCCATAGACACAGCCCACTGAGTTTCTCGCCGGATCTTCTCAGTGGGTCGCGTCTCCGATCCGGTGGTAGATTCTGCGAAGCTCTGCTCTTTCTAGGGCCAGTGTTAGCAGATTTTTTCAAGTTGGCTTACCGCTGGAATAGCCTCTTAGACTACCAGCAAATAGTTAGAGAAAAAATGACATATCAGTCGATATTGATCAAGTACCATAGCTTGCGTGACACACATTCATCAAGCCTAGATGAAGATGAAGCCTAGATGAAGTCGTCGTGGCCTAAAGGATAAGACGTCCGGTGCATTCGTGTCGAGCGATGCACCGGTGTTCGAATCCCGCAGGGGGGTACCAATTTTTGTAATTAAATACGTACTTAATAAATGTTCAGGATTGACTTCCACGGTGAAGAAATAACATCGTGTAATAAAAATCAAACCCGCAAAATTATAATTTGCGTAATTACTGGTAGTAGGACCTCTTGTGAGTCCGCACGGGTAGGTACCACCGCCTCGCCTATTTCTGCCGTGAAGCAGTAATGCGTTTCGGTTTGAAGGGTGGGGCAGCCGTTGTAACTATACTGAGACCTTAGAACTTATATCTCAAGGTGGGTGGCGCAGTTACGTTGTAGATGTCTATGGGCTCCAGTAACCACTTAATATCAGGTGGGCTGTGAGCTCGTTCACCCATCTAAGCAATAAAAAATAAAATAAAAAAAAACTTAATCATCATATCTCACAAATGCGATCTTCCTTAAACTGGTAACCTTAACACAGGGACTAAAGCCACTTGAATAATCAACCATTGAGTACGTTGTAACAACATACCTGTCAATATTCATAAAGAGAATAAACAAATAACTGTAAATGTCATTATGGCTAAAACAAACAACATACTGTTTAATTTTAATCCTTTTCAATTACTTGAACATCTCAAAGGATACGTTTGGGTAAATACGCTGAGGTCACGGGCAGGTTATGTGTTTGTGTGCGTGTTTGTTCGCACACGTCATACGTAGGATTGGATGCCTTGTATCAGAGGATCGGAGAGTACGTATATGGACTTCCTGTGGACCAAAAGGTTAATCGCCGCCGCCCATAACATATTTTTGTATTTATTGCTTAGATGTGTGGACGAGCTCACAGCCCACCTGGTGCTAAGTGGAGCCCATAGACATCTACAACGTAAATGCGCCACCAACCTTGAGATATAAGCTCTAAGGTCTCAGTATAGTTGCAACGGCTGCCCCACCCTTCAAGCCGAAACGCATTACTGCTTCACGGCTGAAATAGGCAGGGTGGTGGTACCTACCCGTGCTGACTCACAAGAGGTTCTACCACCGGTAATTACGCAAATTATAAGTTTGCGGGTTTGATTTTTATTAGATGATGTTTTTCCTTCAACGTGGAAGTCAATCGTGAACATTTGTTAAGTACGTATTTCATTAGAAAAATTGGTACCCGCCTGCGGGATTCGAACACCGGTGCATCGCTACATACGAATGCAGCAGACGTCTTATCCTTTAGCCACGACCACTTCATTCATTCAAAACAGATCATTTCGGATCCTCCCAATCTACTATCCATGCTTTTAGGTACCTCAAGCACCGGTCACCGTTCTCGTCGAATTCGGCGAATGCGACGAAGGGTTCTGCGAGTAAATTAACCCTTAGACACCAGCCCAGTGAATTTCTCGTCGGATCTTCTCAGTGGGTCGCGTTTCCTATCCGGTGGTAGATTTTGGGAAGCACTAAGGCTAGTGCCAGCGAATTCGCGAGTTTCGAAAAAAATGCAAGGCAAAATGCGACTACACTGGGTGTCTTATTTTTTAGAGCCAGACCACGGTCGAAATCAAAATAGAAAAAGTGACCAAGAAAACTGCGCTGTTTTGTGTATGTAAGCCACGGATGTATACAATAACTGAGACGCTAATGAAAATAGTAAAAATCCAGATATCATAATTAATATTTCAGACCTAGTAAGAACCTCGTGAATTTTAATAAAGTTATTTTCTATTTCTATACTCGAAGTGCAGTTTTGCTTTCGCGCTAAAATAAGTAGATACAAAAATATATTTTGAAAAAAAAAAACTATAGAGAGTGGTTATTCTGTTCGTCTAATTTCTATATTAATACGTGAAGCAAAAACTTTGTATCCCTTTTTACGAAAATTGCGCGGACGGAGGAGTAGGAAATTTCTCACACTTAGGTATAGAGAACATAGAGAAGGATTGCGGAATACTAATATTTTTTAAAAAGTATGCATAAAAAATAGGTACATAAAATCTTTAAAAAAAAACATTACGCACACTACCATGTATTTGACACACACAAGCATGATACTCTTTTGTTTATTGTTTAAGGTCTGTGGTCAAATTGAAAATAGATTAATATTGTTTTTCTTTAATATTATTTGTCTATAGTGTAGACTTGGCGAAATCTGTGATCGTAGAAGTAATAAAATCTTTGACGATAGAACCATAATAATGTTCTAACTTATAATTTTAAATTAGTGTTACAATTATGATCGAATTCCCACCGTTGGGCGACCACTAGTAAATATTGCAACCGCTTAACTTTTGTTATACCTAACTCATTCCCCGCTAGCAATCTGGTAGGGATGTTGCGTATAAGTATTCGATTTAATTTATGGTGGGGGTAATATAACTGAACGTCAGACATCGAAAATGCTCACAGCGATTCCCGCCAAAACTTTGACAGTGCGCTTTCGTGGATGAAGTATAACGTAATTGTAATTTGAAAAAAAAAAAAAAAGTTTCGAAGGACGCACCCGCGGCAGCCCAAAAGAGGTGTTTGCATAATACGCGGTTAGCCGGCGGCCGTATTTATGTAATGCAATGTTATATAAGTATTTGGCCTCATAATTTTTCGGTTGCGATAGTCAGCTGTGCGCCATGGCAAGAGGCGTTCGCGCGCTTTCCAATTGACAGTTCTGTGTTTTGACATTAAATTTTTTTNAAAAAAGTTTCGAAGGACGCACCCGCGGCAGCCCAAAAGAGGTGTTTGCATAATACGCGGTTAGCCGGCGGCCGTATTTATGTAATGCAATGTTATATAAGTATTTGGCCTCATAATTTTTCGGTTGCGATAGTCAGCTGTGCGCCATGGCAAGAGGCGTTCGCGCGCTTTCCAATTGACAGTTCTGTGTTTTGACATTAAATTTTTTTTTTATGTATTAAAAAAAAAAGGAATCATAGTGATATGTGCACGTAGTGTTTTGAGTGCGGGATTTTTTTCATGTAAGTCTTAGTTTTAGATGTAAATACAAAAATATATGTGTATTAAATGTAAACATGTGAAAGTCACGGAAATGAGCCTACGTAGACGGTGTTGTACCTCTGTGTGCTTTTTTTTATATTTATACATACGTACGATTTCTTAAAAATTGGGCAACAATTTAGTTAGATAATTTTTCGCTGACTCGCACCGACCTAGATAATCTCGATTCTGATTATAATGTTGGTCAGCGTGTTAACTACATTTTACGGTTTTATTATTATTAATGTATTCTTTATGTTGTTAATTAAAGTTGAATTATACATTTAATGTAAGATTGTATGTTATTACGTGTAAACAAGAGATTATATCTTGACTTTTTTTTGAGTTGAAGCTGTAATTAGTGGTGATTCAAAAGTGTTGGATGAGACAGAAGTTTGATGCATTGTTTCCCCTAAATATTTTCTCCCGTAGGTATCATGCTAGTATAATGCTATCACATCGCTGTCACCAATCCACATTACGATGCCATCCCCAAACACTATACCTGATAAGTGACCACTATAGGTGGGTGGCGCATTTACGTCGTAGATGTCTATGGGCTCCAGTAACCACTTAACACCAGGTGGTCTGTGAGCTCGTCCACTCATCTAAGCAATAAAAAAAAACACGTCTGAGAAACGTCTCGAATGAAACACACGAATTAATTATTACTATCAACATAAATGCTGTATTTAGCTATTAAAAAAAGAAAAAAGAACACCAGGAAAAACCGGAATCTCGCTACTGACATTTACAAAGAGATTGTTATATTTTTATTGGCGTGACAATGACGTTTATTAAAATTCCGAACATTCAGACCATTCGTCTACCCAGTATCAACCTGCACGGCGTAAAGTAAGTTTTTACTGGTGGTAGGACCTCTTGTGAGTCCGTACGGGTAGGTACCACCGCCCCGCCTATTTCTGCCGTGAAGCAGTAATGCGTTTCGGTTTGAAGGGTGGGGCAGCCGTTGTAACTATACTGAGACCTTAGAACTTATATCTCAAGGTGGGTGGCGCATTTACGTTGTAGATGTCTATGGGTTCCAGTAACCACTTAACACCGGGTGGGCTGTGAGCTCGTCCACACATCTAGGCAATAAAAAAAATAAAAATAAAGTATTTCCTAATATTTATAAAGATGTCTCTAAAGACTACTTCTTGTAGGTTAAGTAACACCGTATATACCAGACTAAAAGAGCAACGGCAACTTAATTAAAAAAAAATCCAGTGAAGAGTTCGACTGAAAAGAACAGTTTCAATTAGTGGTGGTAGAACGTCTCGTGAGTCTGCGCAGGTAGGTACCACCCTGCCTATTTCTGCCGTGAAGCAGCAATGCGTTTCGGTTTGAAGGGTGGGGCAGCCGTTTTAGTTTAAAAATAAAGACATTAGAACTTATATCTCAAGGTGGCATTTACGTTGTAGATGTCTATGGGCTCCGATAACCATTTAAAATCCCACGGGGCCGTAAGCTCGTCCACCCACCAATCTAAAAAAACACAAAAAGTTATGATCACTGAAGCGACAAGCCAACATAAAAAAGGTTCTGTCAAATGTAGGTGATTCAAATTTGTAAATTCTCCCTAGACTGTTTGCCCCCGAGAGGTCCTTACACAGCCAGCAAAGCCAGAATAGCTTAACGAAGGTAATGGCAGGAAGTCAAAACATTGCATTGTAAAAGAAATAAGCAAAAGGATTATTACTAAACAGTTCAGGCGAAAATGTCGATAACTCATATTTATTCAATAACAATGTATCTTTCTTTATTCATGTCGGTTCTGCAATTGTCATGAAATTATAACCAGATAAATATTACATTCGTTACTTGAACTGTTTTAAGGTCTATTGTGTATCATCATTTTTATCAATAACATTAATGGAGGATCGAAACTGTGGCAGTAGCCATCGCGGAATTTGACAGATGCCTGAATCTCGCTAACGATATTTTCAAGATAAGCTTGCATATATACAAATTCCGAACAATAACATTTGGACCATCCTGATCACGCAGGAGCCAGTCACCGTCAACGGCTTTTAGGCTCCTTCAGCTCTAACAATAGAAGGAGGCTTAGGGACCCCGGTAACCGTAGGTACTCGTCGAGCTCGACAAAGAGGTCGACGTACAACCCAACCCATGCATCAGCTCGCTGAGTTTCTCGTCGGATCTTCTCAGCGGGTCGCGATTCCGATCCGGTAGTAGATTTATTCGCGAAGCAGTTGTTCTTGAGTTGTTAGGTCTCATTTGGAGGCGCTCGGGCAGCCATTAGCTAATCGCACCCCTCCTGGCGGAGTCTTTGCTCGCCCACCNCGAGCTCGACAAAGAGGTCGACGTACAACCCAACCCATGCATCAGCTCGCTGAGTTTCTCGTCGGATCTTCTCAGCGGGTCGCGATTCCGATCCGGTAGTAGATTTATTCGCGAAGCAGTTGTTCTTGAGTTGTTAGGTCTCATTTGGAGGCGCTCGGGCAGCCATTAGCTAATCGCACCCCTCCTGGCGGAGTCTTTGCTCGCCCACCTGTCCTGGTAAAACTGGAAAGGCCTCCGGGCCACAAGTAAAAGTCGTCGTCGTCGTTTGGAAGTCGTCGTGGCCTAAGAGATAAAACGTCCGGTACATTCGTGTTGAGCGATCCACCTGTGCTCGAATCCCAGGCGGGTACCAATTTTTCTAATGAAATACGTACTCAACAAATGTTCACGATTGACTTCCACGGTGAAGGAATAACATCGTGTAATAAAAGTGAAACCCGCAAAATTATAATTTGCGTAATTACTGGTGGTAGGACCTCTTGTGAGTCCGCGCGGATAGGTACAACCGCCCTGCTTATTTCTGCCGTGAAGCAGTAATGCGTTTCAGTTTGAAGGGTGGGGCAGCCGTTCTGACTATACTGAGATCTTAGAACTTATATCTCAAGGTGGGTGGCGCATTTACGTTGTAGATGTCCATGGGCTCTGTGAGCTCGTCCACCCATCTAAGCAATAAAAATAAAATAAAAAAGTAATCCTTCAATCATAAAAAAAACATTTGGACTGTCGGTCTACCGAGCAATATCACCCGCTCGGTGGAAGATCTTCCCTTTATCGTAATAATAACCCTACACTATTGAGGTTCAGCTAACACACAGATGCAGGTAACACAGAACCAGTCGTTGTGGCGAGGCTTCGCGAAGGCCTATGCCCAACAGTGGACATCCGTGGGCTGATAGGTAGCTAGAACCACGAAGAAAATCTTATAATAGCCAAGTTACTTGATATTTAAAACAAATTTTTAAAACCTATACGCGGCTAACAGTCGTCCATGACCCTGTAAACCTTAAAGGAATGTTGGATAATTAAGTAAAGCGGTATAAAGACGAATTTTAAAGTCCTCGACCCTCGTATTTCTTTGAGACATGAGGTCAATTTTATTGTACAACAGCCGCCTCACTCATTAAGCCGGATCACATGGCTGCATGATAATGGATTTAATATCACAAGCCTCTAATATCAACACATAAGTAAAATCGTGGAAAAAAATAAAAATCCCTTTCTCTATATTCTCTATTAAAATAACCCAGATCGTTTGGCGTGTAGCTTTTGTTTAGTACGATATTAATATAATTATTTTATTCTTCGAAATTTAGTTTCATGCTAAAGATCCCTCAGACACAGCCTACTGAGTTTATCGCTGGATCTTCTCAGTGGGTCGCGTTTCCGATCCAGTGCTAGATTCTGCGAAGCACTGCTCTTGTTAGGGCTAGTGTAAACAAATTCGTCAGGTTAGAGCCCAGTGAGCTCATACACTCGCTTGGCGAAGCCGGCCCTGGTAGCCTTCGAGGCTACCAGGGTAAGAAAGAAAAAAAGCTAAAGACAAATAAAAAAAAGTTTTATAGGTCGCTCGCCGCGAACGCTCGGACTCCATTACATTCCCGACAATTTAATTTAAAAAAATTTATTGAGACCCTCAGGACGCATTTCAAAACAACATGGCGAAAAATGACGTTTCTTTAACCTTGTACAGACGGCGCGCGGGACGCATACCTATAACCGAAGTTACATCACGGACCGAACTGTGTCTCGCTTTCAAATGATCGACATCGAATTACGGTCGCCCGGGCAGCCATACAACAGACCTAAGTTGAGTCGCTTAAAACATTTTTGCAACTTTACAGAAGAGCCATTTTACCTAAAGTCAGTTAAAATTTGAAAAAAAAAAAAAAACAATCCTAACACAAAAAAAAACTTCCTCAGCTATTTGAGTGTGGAGTAAATTTAATTGAAGTTCTATTAAAAACATTGAACTATTCATGCTTGATACCAAACAAAATGGACCTTTAATTACAAAGATAACTGTCGCGAAATTTCGCTTAAGCTTGTCAAACTTGTATCGAATATTTGTCAACGTGCTTAATTAGCCCTTTGACTAGCCTGTAGGTCACCGGTGCCCTACGCGGCGCACTGAAGTAATTATCTCGATATCTTTTACTAAGGCGTCGGAATATCTAGTAGAACTCTAGAAAAGACGAATCCGACGATACTGAGAATAAATCTATTCCTAGGAGATCTTAAAATACTAAAGCATATATTAAAAACAAGATAAGGCAAATGATGGTACAAGACCGCGCGGGAGGCCACCAATGCGGTGGACCGACCAAATGAAAACTGCAGTGGGAGGTCCCCTAAATGAGTGCAGTAGAATGGCCTCGAGCAGGGAGAGTTGGCGCGACATCGTGAGACGCATCAAGTCTGCCCCTTCCAACACTACATGACGATCACGACCACTCTGTCAAGAGTGACACGACTGAGAAGAAGAAGAAAGGCAAAGTTAGGCAAACCAGGCGCTTAGTAACAGAAATCGACATAGTTACTTCAGTGTGCCGCGTAGGGCACCGGTGACCTACATGATAGTTAACGAGTTAAATACTTAACGAGTAATTTAAAACAAGACAAAAACTAGCGTAATGAGCCACTTATCATCAACCAGACTAACCGACTGTAATGATAA